TTCATCAAGTAAATCAGCTTTGTTCCCAGCAAGTGCTGTTACCATATTAGGATTGCCTTCAAAGTAAAAGGAAAAGAAGGATTTCAACATCAAATTTAGAATTCAATTACTTGGGGCATGTAAATAAACAATTCATAAGGATTAAAAAAAAGAATAATCAACTCGATAGACGAATGTCAACCAAGGAGTAGAAAAAGAAAATGACTACCTTGTGATTGAAGTTCCTGGACCCATTTTTTGGCTCTCTCAAACGACGCCTACAAAATAAGAACACTTATTACCATTCTTTCAGATACTAAACATCGTCATGTTGATGCATCAACCATACAAATCCTAGTCGAACATTGTGTTGCAGACGCATGGTTGAAGTTATATTCAAAGAAAGCTATCGAAGTTAAACAAGTATGACCTCAAATTACAAGCTATCGAAGTTTAATTTCCTTCATCTCCCAACGTCACATTTAGAGCAGTAGGCATTTTCGAGTTTACATAACCGAATCACAGAGAGAAGACACTGTTTAAACATCATGAACTTACTTGATTCGTTATATCGTAAACAATGATCGCAGCCGCAGCTCCCCTGTAATACATTGGTGCCAAGCTATGGTACCTCTCTTGGCCGGCGGTATCCCAAATCTCAAACTTTACGGTCGCATCATTAATCGCCACCGTCTGGGAGAAAAAAGCTGCTCCTATGGTCGACTCCTACATATTATAAATCAAGGTCAAACCATATATTCCTAACTCAAAATTCGATTCAATGATGTTTGAACTCACACAACCCATAACCGCACCAACCTGAAACTCGACGAATTGGCCTTTAACAAAGCGCAAAACAAGACTTGACTTTCCGGCTCCGACATCCCCAAGTAGAACCTGAAGAATAAAACCCATATTAACAACTGATACATGCAATAAGAACCAGTTCAAAGATCAAACATGGAATTTGATTGGCTCTAAAACCAACCAACAAAATCAAAAGAACATTTTGCAAAACTAAGCAAAAACCATATAATAATTCGCAAAAAAATCAAATATGAAGCACAATCCATCAAGACCCAGATCATAATTCAGCATTTAAAGCCGACCGAAAGCACAAATTTCAATATAACCCATAAATAATTCACATAAAAAGCAAACATGAAGCAGAAAACATCCAGACCTAGATCATAATTCAGCATCTAAAACGACCCAAAGCAATGAAAATTCAAGTAATTAAAAAAAACGAGGATTTAAAGGATCATGAGAGAGAGAGAGAAAACAAACTAATTTAGCATTGATGTTCTTGTTTCCAGTGGTGGCCATGGGATCTCCTTGTCAATCAGATTAATGTGTTTGCCAAATCAAAACAGATCGAAAATAAATCAATAAAATAAATAAAAATTATGCAGTCAAGCCAAAATGAAATTGAGAACTGTGATTTGGATTGTTGAAGAAGAAAACAATTAGGAGGATCTATTAAAGAGGAATGTGAAAATGCCAAAGGGTCATAACAAAAACCAAAGTCTCTTCACGAAGACTTTAAAGAAAAGGGACCCCAATTTTGATATTCTTTTCTTCTATGGAATTCTTTTGCCTTTTCTATTGGTTTAATAATCAAAATGGCCCCTGAATTAAACTTAATTTTCTACTTAAATGTCTAAGTTATAACCCAATATCCAATCTCCATGATAGCTACGGAAGACACCTATGGATGGATTGATGAGGAGAGAGATTACCTTAAAATTTTAAATTTTCATAGAAGGGGAGGAAGAGCTAAAGATGTTCTTCATAACATATTATGTCATGTTGAATAATCGAGTAAAGAAAACGAAAAGAACACAATAATTTTAATGAGGTTCAGCAATGTGCTTACGTCCTCGGTGCCTTGGGCGGCGCTAGATTTGTCATTCAATATCTCATAGGTTTTGATTACATCTCCTTTATAATAAGTAAACTCTGATACATATTTACAAAAATAATCATGTATTTTACCGGTATATTTACGAGTCATACCTAATATATTCATTCTTAAAAATACATCTTATTGAACTTTGACATATGGAGAGAAAGACTTTATGCATAGGCGGAACAAAGCACGGATCAAGAATTTGAGTCTCTTGCCAATTATTTTTTAATATTAAAAAAATTATATTTTTGAAAGATAAATAAAGAAAATTCTACCGACTCCCTCAATTAAAAATGTTATATTTAAAAAAAAATATTTTAATCTTACTTTAATAAATTCTTAATTTCACCCTGACTTCATGGATAACCCCTTAGGAGATGGTGACTATCATTGAATCATTACAATCACTTTTTATATGGAGTTCATTCACTATTAATTGATTAAATTTTCCACGTGATATTGATCTTACAAAAGAGTAATATACAATCTTGATATTCGTCACTTTAGCTATAGCAAGTAGTAACTAATCTAGTTATCAATTTGAACTTACAAATAATGTTTTAAAATAGAGTATCAAATTGCGTTAAACTAAAATGAAGAAATAAAATATAAAATTTTGCAATAATAAAAGGACTAAAAAAATAGTTAGACCATATAAGTCCTTTAACTCGTCATCATGCACCTTCTCCACATGTTGGAAAAAGGCTAAACTTCTCCACCTAATTCCCTCCTCTGCCCGCGTTAAAGAATCATTGTTTATTAAATTAACATATAATATATATATATATATATATATATATAATTAAATTAAATATTTTTAAAAAATCAATAAATAGTATTTCGAAATTATTAGTTGTTTTACCAACTTGACTAATAAATTTAATGTTAAAAAGTATTTTTTAATACCCAAACTAGCATACAAATTTTATTCCTATAAATGATAAATTTAATGAAAGGAATAAAAGATAAATTTAATGAAATTTATGACTATTTTTTTTTAAACTTGAGTTTAGTTACCATTCACACATGTATTCATTTTTTTCTTCTCTTAAATATTTTTTTACTTTTTTAATATTTTTAAATTACTTATTTACATAAATAAAAAATAAATAATTTCATGTCAATATAAATACACATTAAAAATTAAAGTTTTAGTCAACATTTTCATTAAAAAACATTTTGATTTATTTTTTTTTCCAAAAATTGATGTCATTTCAACAACCCAATAAGTTGTGGCATGCGACAAATATCACATCATTACATATTAAAATTGTTGAATTCAAACACCAAATTAGAAAAAAGAAATATCAAAAGGAAGACAAATTCCGGCACAAATTGTATTTATAAAAAGGATTAAATGTACCAATGTCCCTAGACTATATTGTTTTCACCAACTTGTCAATTAAAGTATTTTCGGGACGTTTTGCCCCCTAAAGTATAAATTTTTACTTCATTTGTCCCAAACTGTTAACTCCGTCAAAAAACACATAGGTTAATTATAATTTAGTTACTCTATTATTTATGTGGTTCTGTTTGAGTAATCTAATTTTATTTTTCAAAATTATCACTAAACTTTAGTTTTTGTTACGTTTTGGTCACCCAATTTGATTTAATTTACTTTTTAAATTTTTAATATATAAGAATTCATTTATATTATATTTAGTTACTCTACTATTTATGCGGTTCTGTTTGAGTTATCTAATTTTATTTTTCAAAATTATCACTAAACTTTAGTTTTGTTACGTTTTGGTCACCCAATTTGATTTAATTTACTTTTTAAAATTTTAATGTATAAGAATTCATTTATATTATATTTTTTACTCAACACATAAATTTAAAATAAATATAAAATAAATAATATTATAAGATAAATAATAAATAACATATTAAATTGTATGTGATTAAAATTCTATTAAATGAAATATTAATTATTTATTTAAAATATCATAAATGAGAATTACACAACGTACGAAGAAACACTGATCACCCACCCAGTTTATCTACTTTTGGAGAAATGATAAAAAAAATAAATATATTTTTTCACGCCAGAAAAATAGTTAGTCGCGTCACTTCCGGAAAAAAAAATATTGTGCCAAGTAGACCTACTCGACAGGGTTGGAATAGCAAACCTCTTAATCTCATGCACCCAAACTATTTTCTTGGCGTTCTCACATTAATCATCAACAACACTATAAAAAATTATGAGTATAAAATATAAAAATCATTTTTTAAAGTTATGAGATTTGATTTTGAAATAAAAAATATATTAGTTATATTTTAAAATTTTAAATTTACATATTTTTCAAGTGTTTCTGTGAATCCGAACAAAATCAAACTCATCGTTTTTCTCTTATTTCTTTTTGGACATTCCTTCCTCATATTTCCCAACCTTCATCGTCGCTTGCACTGTCTACACCTCCATCGATCGGATCCTTTAAGCTTTTTTAAAAAACTTTCTTCTTTGGAGGTAGGTTTAGTTGTTGTTTTTTTTTTTCAAATATTTTCTTCTTTATCTTAATTGTTTGAAAAACTAGATCTTGCCATGGGAAAGCAATTGGAAAAGCCCGGCTTCCAGCTTGTTTGGGACGGATTTCTTTTAACTTTGGATGCAATTTTAATAGTTATTTTTTTGCTTAAATTTTGGTTTGGTTTCAAAATTTTTTATTGTTGAATTATTTGCGTTATATATAACTTAATATATTATTTATTATTCATTGTATAATATTACTTATTATTGAAAAATAAATTTATGTGTCAAGTAAAAAATACAATATAAGCGAATTCTTATACATTACAATTTTTTAAATAAATTGAATCAAATTGGGTGACCAAAACGTAACAACAATTTAAGTTTAGTGATGATTTTGAAGAAAAAAAGTTGGGTAACTCAAACAGAACTGCAAAATAGTAGAGTGACTAAATATTTAATTTACTCGATTGTTTTTTGACGGAGTTGACGGTTTAAGGCAAATAAGGTACCGATTTATACTTTAGGGGGCAAAACGTCCCTTAAAATACTTTAAGGGGCAACTCGGTAAAAACGGTATAGTTAAGGGGAAATGGTGCATTTAAGCCTTACAAAAAAGAAAAGAAAAAAAACATAGGTACCATATTAGAAAAAAGTGACAAATTCGGGAACCAAATCATTTACTTGAGCCTTAGTTTAACAAGCATACGCCATGGGAGCTGCATTTGATAAACCAAAACCTAAAGTTCAAGGGTTCAATGATTAAACTATCAAGAATCTAAGGAATTCGTTTGTAAACATCTCCAAAGCTCGCTCAGATAACCATAAATGAAAAGGTAAACCATATGAAGATGTTTAGCTCAATGGCAAAATTTAAAACGTTCCAAGGGAAAACCATGACCTTCTGCTGTCTAGGGAGTAACAGAGCTATCGCTTTTTTCTGCCGCCCTTCCCGGACTTGGAAGATCCAGCAGTACTCGATGTCGATGGAGCTTCCTGCTTCTTCGTCCTCCCCGGATGTCTAGGTACCAACTCCGCAACTTGGAGCATCAGCTGTTTCCCTGCAACCGCACAAATTATGAAACTATGACGCATAATTCACTCCAGCACTATTCTTGTTCTTCTTCTCATTTAATTTCATGAAAAAATGAGACACGGGCAACACTTCTCCCTTCATAATCTAATTTCGCAAAATCGAAGATGGAGAATGCTTTTACACTATCAAATAACTCGCATGTTTCTACGGAAAATATGGCACTTTTGCTTGAAAGAGTTCAACCATTTATTCTCAAGCTTTTAACAGGCAGTTGAATTATGTTAAAAACTACACTTACTTGAAGGAATGGCTGGATTGCATAGAGTCCCATCCTCCTTTTTCAACTGAACCCTCACTCTCCCTCTTTGCATGAAATCGCGAGGATATGCCTTGTCAATCTGTACAAATCAACTTTAACTCGGTTACATAACAAATATAAAGAACTAGTTTGTTCAAACAGCTGGTAGAGTAAAAAGTTGACAAATCATGCAACAAGAGTGAGATGAATGGTTATTCGGCATATACGTTCAAACGCCCAAGTTCCAAGATTTTAGGCAAATAATTTTAGCATCCTTGTCATAGGATGCCAAAATCATTTAGCTAATAAATAGCTCTAAAGGTAGCAAGCTGCTGAGGTTTGAGGAGCAGCCTTCTTGTAAGGTAAATCGATGGCAAGGGAAAAAAAGTCTACAAAAGACACGGACAATAAAAGTGAGTATTAATCTTCCAACTAAAGATAGGTTTCGGTAACAGTGCACATACAAAAGGAGAAATCAACAATGGATAAGGTAAAACATTGTATGTGTAGACCCAGCACTCTTGGATGGACCCTTGAATGATGAACGGAGCAGTGCATGAAAATCCAAAAACCATACTTGTGGCATTCAGTTACCATAAGAATTTTAAATCCTCAAAGGAGGCATTGATACAACAGTGGTTAGAGCCCTCGGTTAATTTTGATTCACCCAAGGATATAGTAACTGTTAGAACAAATGGATAATAGAATGACCTAAATGTCCATGTATGGGTAGATTTCTGGGACAGGACAGAAGGAAGCAATGACAGAAAGCAACAAGGGTAAGACAAGTCTTCGTTTATTTCAATTGTAACAGAATGAAATACATATAATTGTTGCTATCCACAACAGATTTCGATCATTGCTGATGGAACTATTTAATAAGTTACTTGAAACCTCGAGTTTTAATCAGGAAAAAAGTTCATATTAGATTCGGTATATCATTTTCCCCACATTTCCACAATGGCATCACAAGTCATACAAGAACGAACCTCGATGGCATTAGGGACTTTGAGATGGTTGCAGCAATCAGCGATTTCAGCACAAGTGGGATTTTCACATGCTTTAGCCAAGCTGATTCTCCTTCCCTCGGCTACCGTTTTCTTCGAATTAATATAAACAGCATAGAAAACCACCCATTTCTTAATGTTGGGGACTTCTCCATTCATCTTCTCTTATCTTAACCGAACAACATAACACAGAATTCAGCAAAAAACTTTCATACGAAATAGTTCAGAACCGATATTATTATTCAACAACTCTTAATAAACGTGTTAATGCCAAAAAAAATGTAAATAGAACATTTATTAAGAAAATGCTCGAAACCATGCACAAATGAAATTACAACAACGATAGAGGTAGATAAACCCTAAAAATACAATCCAAAAACCCAATATTTATTACGTAAAAGCTCAACAAACAAGCAATTTTAACATTAAAAAAAATATTGAAGTCAAATATCTGATCTATCGCTTGAAAAATCACACTGAAAACATTCAAAATTGAAGAAAAAAACAGGAAATTTGAATAATTGGAAAAGCATAACCCTAAATAAAAAAATTCATTTTTAAGGGAAAAAGCTTGCTTTCTTCTCCATTAAATTAATTGATCCACTATCAAAACTAATAACCCACATTTCATCAAAATCAGTGCCGATATAATTGAAACGTTTCTCTATAGCATAAACCTACCGATTGCGGTGACTCTTGATCGGCGGTAGAGTCGGATGTGGCTTCGAAATCTTGGGTTGCTCGAATCTTTAAGCCTCCAGCAAAATGCGAAAGCGTTTTGTAAACACGTGCGAGCGTGCTTAGAAATTACATACATATAAATACCATTTAAGGGCCTGGGCCGATCTGTTTTCATAATTACGGAGGTTCGTTCGATATTGAAGAGCCTATAAACCTTAAATTACATATCAGTATTAGTGTGTTTTGATGTATTATTTTTTATTTCGAGTCTATCATTATTTTTTAAATATTATTCACCAATATATTTTAATTACATTCATAAAAATATATTTATATGAAAATATAAAATTAAAAGTATTAATTCAGTTTAATTACTCAAGTAAATTATATTTTATTATTAAATATAATGTTAACAGCAGTTAAGATAAAATAAAATAAAATATTATTTGAAAAAAGAAAAATCTTTTGTATAACTACCGACATCCGATTTATTGATCAATAATTCAGATCGGATACGACAGAGACGAAGGTGATCTCCCAAATTAAAATGACACAAAGAGATAATACAAACAAATACAAACCGATGATGACTAAAATGGATTGCATATTAAAGAATCTAACGTTGAAGGAGAATTATTTTTATTTCAAGGTTTTAATTCGACTCAACTAAAAATTAAATATTAGGCATTATGAGATCTTATCAAAACAATGAATTTAAGTGTACATGAACAATTTTTTTTTATCTCAAATTAAAATCAATTTTTAAATTAGGTTCGAGATGTCAATAATCTCTGGAACAGATAGCTAAAAGCTTTCAGTTGACATATCTTCTCTATCTTGAGTTGTGGGTTCGATACCCATTAGGAATAAAGTTCCGCTTCCCTTCCCTTAAGTAGGAATTATTCAAATAAGAAAAAAGAAATTATACTTGAGATTTGATTTTTGATATAACTATTAGAGTTTATAATCTGAATTTTATTACGATCAAATTTTGAAATAATAGTCTCAACAACGTATCCAAATTAACCTTAAAAAATAAATGACTTTAAGGATAATAAGATAAATGAATTTATTATTTCACGACAAAAAAAGAGATTTCCTCTTTATTTTAAACATTTGACTTTGGATGAGCTAACGTACGGACTAATCACTTTGAACACATGATTGCTGTCATCGGCATCCGGTGAAATAGATGTTTTCCGACATATATGCGAGAGCGTAAAGGAGTAAAAGATGCACAAAGATTTAAAGTTGACTATGTAACCAGAAATCACTTAACGCGGTCACAGAAACAGAACATAGACATCGCTTAGGTACTAAACAAGCAACCATGGATCCGACTTAATGATCGAATCCGCACAGTCCACATATAATATGTTGAAAACCATGTCCAAAACATACCAAATTACGAGATTGTTTCTTGATCACATGAGTGCTTATGCCCTCCCCCCCTCTCTAGACTCCACTTTCAGCGAGCTTCATACTGAACAACTGCAGTAAAACACAAAGAATAAAAGCAAAGAAAACAAGATTTTTCTCATTTACAGTTATGGTTGCTTCACCTAATCTCAAATGAAGTATAACTGCAGAAGTTCTTCGTGAACTTGTCAAGACCGGAACCGGCGAAAATGAAATGACCCTTAAGCTAAAAGCAAAAACTATATAACATTAAAAGGTCCAAAATTAAGCAATGAAACACATCATTACATACATTTATAAAAGCAATAATAAAATCAAGTAAAAGGGCAACAATGGTGAGAGAGGAGCATTACTTCTTCGGGTTCGTTTTTTGTAAAGAATGCGGTAACCACACTCCCGGCATTGTATCACGTCTCCATGTTTCGTCGTGTTCTCTTGCCCCCGGTCTTTATAACCCAAAAAGGAAGGTCCAAACCATAATTTAGTGGCAAAACTTCAGGGTTTATTTACGGGTCAAAAGGTTACAATACTAACCTCCACAGATATAAGTAACAGGTTCAGGCTGCGGATCCATTGATGCTCGGTCAAACAAGGTCTTTTCTTCAAGACAACTGCACAAAAGTCGAAGAGATCTCCACATAAATCGAATTAACTGAAAAACAGTACCAATTTGTATAAAAAATAACCCAAGTTATTTTCTTTTTAAACGATATCGGGTAAAAGAACTTACGACTACGAGAGCAAAAGGTCTGGCTGCTAAGAAAGACTTGAAGTTTTAGGGTTCTTTTAAGGGTTTTATAGTTGACATAAAACGCAATCACAATAAGAGGGGAAATAAAGTAAATAAGAATATCTTTTTGACAGGATCAAAATATAAATTTATTATCGTATTAACTTATAAATTTTTTTTAAAAAAGTTTGAGGTGCTTACAATGTATTATCTGCTCGAAACTTAATTAATTAATTAACAACGCGTACATTTTAAAGATATAATTGTTCGAACTCAAAATCTCTAAGGAAAATAACATTCCTTTTCACCGCTAAGGATGCTTGAATGAGTTCAAAATTGACTTATAATTTTATAAGATCAAACTATAAGTTTATCATGATACGAACATAATAATAAAAAAAGAAGAAGATAAACTAGTTCACAAAAAAAAATCATAAGTTATATTCAACATTAAAGTTATCGATAAATAAGTAAATTATGAGGATGGTAATGTTGATAATGAATCAAATATGGTCAATAATATCTAGATCTGATGGTTAAAAACTCTCACTTGATACATTCTCTCTTCCCTTGGTTATGAATTTATTATCATTAAGAGTAAAATTCTCATTTCCTCTCTTCTAAGTAGGAATTGTTAAAATATATTTATAATTATTTTTTTATTAAAAGTCAAGTAAACATTGTAGTTATTAGATACTAAATTGGATACTAGTTTTTTTTTGTCAACGTGCAACATCATCAACAAGAAGAGAGTCGATGACTAGTGATAATTTTGTGATTTATCACTAATCTTATTAACCAAACATAACTTATAAACAATTAGTAACCAAAATGAAAACTAACTACAAATATAGTGATCATAAGTGTAGTTTATCCATAAATAAATTCAAATTATATCCTGACCGTTCATTTGAAAGGACGAACGCGGGCTAACGGCTTCGATCAGTAAATTACAAGAGCTCTAAAGTAGAATCAATCGCACATGATTAAAGCCTTTTTGACTCCATTCCCTTGTATTCCTTTACCCCGAACCGATCATCATCTTTGCTTAATTTTTTATCACACTCGGTTTCTCAGGTAGGAAAAGAATAATTAAATTAAATGTTTTATTTTCAGAATTCAATTGTAATTTATTTAATATTTAGATATTGGGATTCTTTTATTTGTTGCTCGATTGATTGTTGTCGTGGTTGAAGACGATGATGGGTGCTTTAGTTTTTTGTTCATAGTTCGAAAACGATTCTGAGGGTTATCCCGTTCGAATCTTCAACAATTTGGGTTTTTTCTTTCCGTCGGAATTTATTAATTTGTTTATTGTTCAAGTAAAATGATTCTTTGATTTTTTGTAATTGTTGGTTGATTGATTGATTAATTGATTGTTGTTTGTGGTTGAAGAGGATGTGGGCTGCTTCATGCCTTGCTTCGTGTTGTGCTGCATGCGCCTGCGATGCATGCCGCACGGTGGTTTCGGGGATTAGCCGGAGATCTGCGAGGATCGCTTATTGTGGGCTTTTCGCCCTTTCTCTGATTCTTTCGTGGATCCTTCGTGAGGTTGCCGCTCCGCTGATGGAGAAGCTCCCTTGTAATTTTCGTTAAAACTCTGCCTTTCTTATTTTGGTTATTGCTAAATTATGTGATTCACATAATTGTTTTTTTAGATTCCAATAGAAAAAAGGATTGCTAATGTTGAATTGAGTGAATGATGATGCTAAATAGTTAATAGTATAACAGCATTGGCGTAGGCAATGGGCAAGGAAGATGAGTTCTTTAGGATTTGTTTTTGTGGTAATTTGTCTGGCGAGCATCGTTTTACTCTGAGCTAAGTGCCTTTTACATGTTGTGTTAATGTATTGGGCCTTTTAGGGAATCTGAAGAATGCTAAGATTTCCATGTGATTATGGAATTTATCACCATTCACCATATCTTTGGATATGATTTATTGGATCAAATCTGTTTTCTGGAGGAATTACAAGCTTGTTCATTTACACATTTTCCCTTGAGTGATAACTGGTTCTAGTACTGTATTTCTCTTGTACCATGCTGCCGCATTTTTTGTTTTCATTTGTAATTGATATGTGCCACCATATTTCATGTATGGAATGTTGAAAAGCAAGCTTGCTGGCTGGTTGCATCTTGCGTATACTTATTTTGCTGATTTTGTTAACATATTATTGTTATTTATGCAGGGATAAATCATTTTCATAAAACACCCAACAGGGAATGGTTTGAAACGGATGCGGTGCTGAGGGTTAGCTTGGGAAATTTTTTGTTTTTTACTATCCTATCAGTTTCTATGGCTGGAGTGAAAACTCAGAGGGATCCTCGTGATGCTGTGCACCATGGTGGATGGATGATGAAAATTATTTGTTGGTTCATTTTAGTGATTTTAATGTTTTTTGTTCCAAACAAGATTATCAGCTTCTATGGTAAGCTACATTCTTGTGGATCATTCTACTAGATTAAGAAATAAGAATACCATCCTTTTCTAAATGTTTTACATACTATAGGAGTTAATTTTCTTAGAGACCATTTGCAAATATGATTAGAGGAGATAATAATTTGGCTAAAATCGATTACAGTTGACTTAAACTGACACTTAAATTATGCTTTTGCAGAGTCGGTATCTAAGTTTGGTGCAGGACTGTTCCTTTTGGTTCAAGTTGTGCTTTTACTTGACTTTGTTCATGGATGGAATGACAAATGGGTCGGATACGATGAACAGTTCTGGTTAGTTTTATTTTTCTGATGTTTTAATGGTTTCACTTCTCTTTATTGTTCAGATCAACTGATATCCTTGCCTTTTCTCTAGGTACATTGCTCTGTTAGTTGTTTCACTTGTTTGTTATTTGGCAACATTTGGCTTCTCGGGACTTCTCTTCCACTGGTTCACTCCATCTGGACATGATTGTGGACTCAATACCTTCTTTATTGTTATTACCTTGATCCTTGTTGTTCTGTTTGCCATAGTTGCACTGCATCCTGCGGTAAGTCTCTTAACTTTTGGGTCTTCATAATTATTTTATGTCATCATTATTCAATATCAATTCTATTAGTTTGTGTTTGTGGATTATACACCATTAATGGAAATTGGAATGTGGACTGTCCCTGGCTCTAGTCGGTGGCGCTGTTAGATAAATTATCCTGTTCCATGATTGATAAATTATATACCTTTTCAAACATGCATTTGTAGTGCAACTTTATAACTGTGCCATATTTCATGCCGTTTACACAAGTATGTCGATGCACATGGTCATTCCTAATGCGTATATCTTGATGACTTGTCTTTTGTGTAACAGGTTGGTAGTAGCATTTTGCCAGCTTCAGTCATCATTGTACTGCATGTACCTATGCTACAGTGGACTTGCAAGTGAACCAAGAGATTACGAATGCAACGGTCTTCACAATCACGCTAAAGCAATTTCTACTGGCTCCCTGACCCTTGGTCTAGTTACCACTGTCCTGTCAGTTGTCTACTCTGCTGTTCGTGCTGGGTCTTCCACGACTCTGCTCTCCCCACCAAGTTCACCCCGTGCAGGTACCGTGGATAACATTTCTCGATCCTTATACCTTATACCATTAAAATAAGCTTTCATGGTATTCTTTTCTTAGAACTTAAGCAAGTGTTATTTACAAACTATACCTTTTTTGTATGAGAATAGGGATAGGAATTTTGACAGTCGTCAACCGTTTTTGGTTTTACATATATTTTTAGGGTTCGGAATTCATTTCTCCATCTTTTCTCCATCCCTCCCCGCCTTTTAGGATCTTTCCGAGGGATGGAAAAGATTAAAAAACATCATATATTAAGAGAGTACGATTTAACGTTCTGTTTTGAATGGTTGAAGGTGCTGGAAAGCCTTTACTTCCCATGGACAAAGTAGATGAACACGAAGAACAGGGAAAAAACAAGCCAGTCTCGTATTCATACGCCTTCTTCCACATAATCTTTTCTCTAGCAAGTATGTACTCCGCAATGCTCTTAACCGGATGGTCAACCTCAGTTGGGGAAAGCGGCAAGTTAGTCGACGTAGGCTGGCCATCCGTGTGGGTTCGGATTATAACCGGTTGGGCAACTGCAGGTCTCTATATCTGGTCACTCCTTGCTCCCATTCTGTTCCCGGAGAGGGAATTCTAGGCCTCCAAAGTAAGTTTTTGTCTATTATTATTGCAATAAATTTAATTATGTTTGTGTGATTTGACAAAGAAGGATTAAAAAACATTTATCTTTGTGTCAAAAGTGGGAATTACTGCAGTAAATTTACTCTTTGTGTGTGTGTGTGTATGATCAGTGAAAGGATTGAATATACCCTCACTGAAATCGTAAGAACCCTTTGTTGATGTTATGATATTGTAATGTAGAAGTAAATGTATTCAATTTTGATCCCTTCCTCCACATGTTTGACTGTGTCATTTCACACAACTTAGTAGGATTTATTAATTTAAAATATGAATAAATAAATATTTGAGTCATTATAGTACAACAATTACTCGATTCTTTTCCTAAAGATTTGAAGAGTGTTATTGGGATTGTTCTTTACTATCAAAATATAATTTTATTTTATATTAGCTTATAAGTTGGACCCATACTTGAGTATGAACTCAAATATTTAAACACTTCACATTCTTTGCTTGTTTAACGGCACAATTTTTTATTTTGCGATATCGATCGTATAATAGTATTAAGACTAAAGCAATTTTTTAATTTTTAATGGTTATTTTTATTATAAAAAAGTAAAGTTCAAATTTTAGGGCATAAAAAAAATCAAAATAAGTACTTATATATTTAAACCTTTTAATTATGGCTTGTATATTAAATGAGCCCCTCTAATTGTATTAAAAAAATCAACTAAGCATTTGGCTTATCATAGATGAAACATGCTCTTATATGAAGAATCACGATTAAATGAGCTCTTATTTAAAAAAATTATAGATTAAATGAGTCATTATTTGAAAAATTATGATCAAATTTGTGCTAATTTTTCAATGTTTTAAAATCTCTTCAATGATAACTCATTTAATCCATCATAAAATAAGGGACTCAATTTTAGAATACAATGACAAGGACCTATTTGATACGTAAGTATTTAATTATATGATTA